TACATCATGTGCTATGTTAGATTACGCAATTTTAATTAAAGCACAATAAATGGTATGTTAATGAAAATTTAAAACTTTAGAAAATATATTTTCCTTAAAGTAAAATAATAAAAAAACGATTAAATCTAGAATAATGTAAAGTAATATGTTAATTATAAAAATAAAAAATAACAAAACATTTTAAGATTATATCTACACGAAAAAATAATTGAGAAATTAATTACAAAAAAAAAACTTATTCATGCAAGATAAACATCTTCATTCCGTAGTAAGAAACTAATGACGGAACTGTATATAGAAAGCTGATCATATTTATTTTAAGACGGTTGAAGACCACTTTCTCACAATTTAATATTGTATTTTATTTTATATAAGAGGCCCAAACTAGCACGCGCTCACCTAATGCTAAGTGATAACCGTCACTCATTATCAACTGAAACACGAGGGAAATCACAGGTGTGTTTTCAGTCTTTTAAAATGGAATAAGCTTTCTAGAGATTTCTAAGATGAATCAATCAGGAAAAATCGACAAAGATATCGTGCGAGGAAGAAAACTCCTTAATAAATCGCACAGTAGTGGATGTTCCACAATGGATGGAGATCACCAAGCATTCACGTGGTACAGATTGTAAAGATAGTTTTAGTACGATGTACAGTGATGAAATTTGGTGTTTGTAACTAATCCGAACAATTCCTGTGAGCACTCCCCGTAGTAAATACGATAGAAAGTGCAAAGGGATGCTATATTTCTCCGCAGCGCCAGTAAATCGTACTGGTCAGAAAGAGCTCGGCCATTTTAACAAAGGAGTTGGCAATGGGTTGCTTTGATTCAAATATGACAACAGGATTTCATGTGAAGCCGAACTTGCACCTTGTCGTAGTCGTAAGCGGTGTGCCCGTCTGTTCTGCACTACTAAGCATGCCAAGCTTTTAGCAAGCTTAGAAGTTTTTTTTTAATTTTTTTTAATTTATTAGGATCAACAAACAGTTTACACAATATTTATTAATCTAAAATACATTCACTACAGCAAATATGATATAATAGTGCTACCAACACCGTCGACCAATTAGCGTACAATTTTTTCATCTAATACAATGATTGTGTTTTCAACTAACACAATAATGAAGAAAAATACTAATAATTGTAATAACCAGTTACACAAACTCATTCTCCTCTAAGTACTGAAAGTAATTCTTTTTTATAAATACCCACCTTGTGAGCAAAAATGTCAATATTATTGAAAGTATTATTATAACAATTTAACAACATTTATTAGTAAAAAATGTATATTTAGTACGAACTCTGCGACACAATGGCCTATATGGTACTCTGTATTGTATCATCTCAACTAGTTCTATACTATCGTACCTGTTATGACAGATATCATATACTCGTAGTAACATACCTTGAATCTGTTGACGTCGGATTCTAGTTTTAGTAAGTTATATTCGACCAGCAGTTGATAGTAGGGTAATTTAACTCGTCTGCACTTGTAATATACACTACGCAAAAACTTTTCTGAATGGATTCTATTTTATCTATATATTTATTATAAAACGGACACCAAATAGCTACCGCATATTCGAGTTGTGATCTTATTAAAGATTTATAGAGGTGCAAATAAGTGAGAGGTTTTTTAAATTCACGTCCAATACGCATCACGAAACCATACATTTTAAGAGCCTTATTAATGACGTTTTCAACATGTGTATCAAAGATAAGTTTACTATCTAATATTATTCCTAAATCTTTAATTTTATGATTTTTTTCTAATGGGACTCCACATAAAGAATAATTAAAATTACTTTCCTGTCGCTTACGGGTAAACGTTATGGCTTTACATTTATTAACACTCAAATCTAACTTATCGTGTTTACAGTAAGATGTAAAATTATCTAAATCTTTTTGAAAGTTAAGGTGGTCATGATAATATTGAATTTTGAGATAAATTTTTATATCATCTGCGTACAGAATAAAATTACAAAACTTGAAACAACTATTAACATCATTAATGTACAGGACAAAAAGAAGAGGCCCTAATATTGATCCTTGTGGCACACCAGAACTTATATGCACAATATCTGACTCAAAATCTCTTATAACTACTTTTTGTGTACGATTTGTCGCATACGATTTAAATCATCTCCACAAATTACCACGGATACCATTAAAGGCTAGCTTTTCCAGAAGTAATTTATGGTCTACGTGATCGAAAGCTTTGCGGAAATCTGTGTATCCAGATTCTCAAATAAGGAGTTTGTATAAATTAATAAGTTAGATATAGTTGAACGCTTCTTAATAAAAACGCTTCTTAATAAAGTTGCCGCGAAAATGAACGTCATTCCATATGTTGACGTCAAGAATTCCAAGTCAAGTCAAGTCACTTTAATTAATAACTAATAGCGTGTTAGTGTAAGTAAGTCATGAATGCCAGGGTCTTCATTGTAACTTATAAGCAGTTACTCCCTGAGCTACACAGATAAACAACGATTTCATCTCGATTTTGCATTGAAGTTTTTTTTATAGAAGTAAGGTTGAGAAAAGAATGCACAGTTCACCTCATGATAATTGGATGCTGTGGTCCATGAAAAAAAGTAAAGTTACAGCCTATATACGCCTGCTGGGCACAGGCCTCCCCTCATTTCTGAGAGGGTTTTAGGGCAAGGAAGTGTACGCCGCGCTGCTCCAATGCATGTTGGCGAACTTCACATGTCTTCGAAATATTTTTTTTCTTATTCCCCAGACATGCAGGTTTCTTCACGGTATTTTCCTTCACCGCCAAGCATGTGGTAAATCAGCACTTAAAATTGCAATTAACAATTTCATTGGTGCCGGCGGGGATCGAACCCGGGTTACTCGCGTTCTGTTGCATTTACAGAGAGCGTTAACCATCTGAGCTACCACGGCACTGTGGTCCATGATTTACATGAACTAACCATACGAAACACGGCAGCATAATACTGCTATTTTACGCCAGTATTTTTTGCAAGCGTGGTCCTTCCCGGTCGAGCCACCCATTCATGCTACAGCTATAATACACTGCAGCATGGGTGTACCACGTAAATTGAGGCAGTTTTGGACCAAAGGAATCTCTTACCCTCAGATGTGATTTGGTTTTTTAAATTATCACTCCGTTATTATACTACTTAATTATTGAAAATACTAAAAGGATTTGTATTTATTCGAGAGCTTTAGAACGTGTTAAAACTTTAATGTTATATTTGAGGTGTTGATGCTTTGTTACTTATAATAATTGTACACGTACTTTGCAAAACAAGCATTGTCTTTCAGTTAGAACCAAGCGGCCATTAGACAGGGTGGTCACGTACCGCTAATCACATATTGTATAACCTCACGTACTCCGTCACACATTAACACCTCTGCACACAACGCTAACTATGTGTGATTTCATTAATAATTGTGCTTTGTTATAATGCTAAAATTTCTAGTTTTGTAATAAAAGTGTTGAGATAAGACTTATAAGGAAGCTCAAAGTTTCTCTACGTTATAGCATATTACCTGCAGCGGAACTTGACTATTTGTCAGTTTACCATCGGTGAATCTTAAGGTGTACTGGTATATGACATACGGGGTCAGTAAGATGACAAAGAAATGTGGAATTAAAAAGAAAAAAAGACTCCCGAAAGTAAAAAATTATATTATACATAATTATATATAAATATATATATATATATATATATATATATATATATATATATATATATATATATATATATATATGTGTGTGTGTGTGTGTGTGTGTGTGTTACAGTCATAGTGATTAAATAGCTATTATACATAATGACTGGTCATTATATATAATAGCAAAATTTGATAGATAAGATGATAGATTATCACTTTATCCGGATATTATTCATAATACCGGGTCAAAGTTAGCCTAAGTAATAAATACGGTGTAACTGACTTGTTACCCCTCCCGCTCTTCATCCCGCTGCCGCATGGCGTGATCACCGCGATCTCGTAGCTGACGCAATAGTGTTCCTTGTCGTTTTGTCATGAGAGGTCGCGCAGTGTGTGCCGCAATTTCCGCGAGTTTTTACATTTGTATCAGTGTCTGATGATGAAATGAAAAAACGTTTCTATGAAACTACCACTGTACTTATTGCAAGTAAAGGAAAAAAATAATCAGTTGTTTACAAATGATGAATATTTGTCTTTAATTTTAAAAGTAAAAGAATCAAAGAACAAGATTACTAAGAAAACACCAGAAGATTACCAGCGCTTAGCAAGATACGATGTCGTCAAAATTGGAGCATCAGAAAAACTAATTATTCCAGTGAAAAACGAAGGTGACCCTATTATTTACTATGCTCACTTACACGAAACTTTTCCAATAATCCACAACTGTTATATTAGTATTGGACACGGCTGTAGAGTCAGAATGATGAAAGAGTTAAAATTAAGATATTAAAATGTAACTGCTAAACTCGTCACAGTGTATTTGAATCTGTGTGAATCTTGTCAGAAAAAAAAAAGTTTGCCAAAAAAACGTCTTGTTGTAAAACCAATCATCAGCAACGAGCTTAATTCAAGGTGCCAAGTTGATCTAATAGACATGCAATCACAAGGTGATGGTGTAAATAAATTCATTATGGTGTATCAAGATCACCTGACAAAATTCGTGCAGCTGCGGTCGTTAAAAAATAAGCGAGCAGAAGAGGTAGCGTATCATTTACTTGACATTTTTACTACATTCGGAGCGCCTAATATTTTGCAAAGCGATAATGGTAGGGAATTTGCAAACAAAGTGGTCAAAGAAGTCTGTGCGATGTGGCCGGAATTAAAAATCGTTCGTGGTAAACCCCGACACTCTCAATCACAAGGGTCTGTTGAAAGGGCTAACGAAGACGTAGAGACGATCCTTTGTACTTGGAAGGAATCTAAAAAGACGACGAAATGGTCTGAAGAATTACGCTTTATTCAATTTATGTAGAACAGAGCGTATCATGCAGGGATAAATCGTAGCCCTTACGAAGCAATGTTTGGCTGTGAAGCTAAAGTCGGATTAAATAGTCTTCCTAAAGATGCGCTAGTTGAACTGTCAACAGAAGAAGAGCTAGAATCTATACTGAATGAAAACGAAAACCAGTTGAATGAGGAGAGGGAAACGGAACCCAATATTACCGACGCTGTGATTAATAAAGATGAAGAAATAGAAAGCGATACTACAAAAAAAAACACTGATTCGCAAAATGAAATTCCAAATAACCTGACAGGAAAATCTGATAAAGATACAGAAAACCAAGGAAATACTAAAGATCCGTCAAAAATAACGCAAAGTGACCAAGAAATAGTAATTACTCTCGATAAAGAGAAACAAGATATAGGAAACAACAGAAAATTTGTTGAACAATCTCTGAAAAAGCAACCAAATAAAATGTTAGCTCTATCTTCAGTAAAAATCTTGATGTAGACTGCGCCAATGCCGATGATAGAAACATTATGGCTGTTATTATTTCTCAGGAGACGGAAGGAATGTATAAGTTAGGCACTAAGCATGGGATCCTAAATCAACTTTACGCAAGGAATCAGTTCACTGTCTACAAAGAAACGTTTATTACAGTTGATATCGTTCCCCAACATGAAGTTACCATCAGAGAATGTGCAAAAAAGTCACATCTTGGCGGCCAAGGATTTCTGCATTGCAACTGTACTGGAGAATGCGTTTCTAATAAGTGTGAATGTAAAAAGTCAAACCTCATGTGTAACTCAAAATGTGACAAGAGCCTTACTTGTAAGAATAAATAATAATTATAACCCAATTAATCCATGTCAGTTAATTTTAAATATTTTATTATTGTAGTCTTTAAAGAGTTATACCAAATACTTGTATTGATCTCTGTGTTTTTTTAAATTTTGTTTTATGGCTAGTGAGCTTTAAATTTACTTTATAAATTAAAGTATTTAAAGTTAAATAATTTTTTATCAATGTTAATTAACGTAGAATTGTTATCCATGACAATGTTATTTTATTCTTAAAATAAACATATAACACACACAACTATACACATATAGTTAAGTATGCTTGAGGCAAATTGAAATATAATTTTATAATATTTACATATACCTACATACTTGTTTTATTACATTATCCAAGTCTTCGAAGATATTCTATAAAATTGCTAGTTAATGCGATTAATTCTGTGTCAATTATCACTTCATCTAAATTGAATAGACATTATAAATAATGGCTAGATAATATGTATAATATTTTGATTTATTATTTTGGCTGTAACATATATATATATATATATATATATATATATATATATATATATATATATATATATATATATATAGTATATTTTTATTTCTATTAATCAAAGTAATCACACATGCAATTGATGCATCTTTGCCAGCGTAGAGGCAGTTTACTACTACTGCTCTTATTGAAGAAATCAGTTGGACAGGAGGCAACAAATTCTTCAAAGGCATTTTGTAATGCCTCACGGGTATTGAATTTTTCCCCGTTAAAAAGTTATCCAAATTCTGGAAAAATTAGAAGTCTATAGGTGCAAGGTCTGGTGATTACGGAAGATGATAAAGAGCTTCCAACTCCAACTCTTGTAACTTCAAGACCATCTGTTGTGTATTATGAGGTCGCACGTTGTCGTGCTGGAGCAACGGGTACGAGTGATTGACCAAAGATGGTAGGACATGTGCGAACTTCTCCATCATTATTTTCAGTTCTTTACATAATACATCTGCAGTAATGCTCATCCCATTTGGTAAGAAGCTGTGATGAATCATACCGGCGCTAAACCACCAAACAGTGACATTCACTTTTCTAGGGGTAAGTTTTCATTTAGGGCATTTTTAGGTGCTGAACTAGGATCCAACTAAGTTGATTTTCCAGTTTTCTGAGCGCTTGCGTCAAGTAACACCTATTTTTCGTTGCAGGTAACAATGCTGTTCAAAATTTCTTCGTTTGTTTGCCTGTAGAGCATTACAAGGCACGTCTCTACTACGCGTTGGTGATCATTGAGTTCGTGGGACACCCATTTGTCAAGCTTTTTTTCAAAGAAAAATGAAAAATGTCTCATTATCAGTCATTCATCTCAGTCCCCCGTGACCATGGGTGCTGGAAAGCGCCCGAAACGTCGGGAATTAAAATAATTAAAATTAAACGCGATAAAATCCGTAAAAGTAGTTTTCGGGTAAATATAAGAAATAATTATTACTTAACCTAATAAAATCTTTGTTGTTTTCCTTAAAACTACAATAGTTTTTAAGCACATTTTTGTATACTTAATTCATTATTCTCTATAAAAATTGGTGTTGGAATAAATAAATCATAATCCTTTTTATTAAATTTAATTACCATATCAACAAATCACGCATTATTTCAAAATACCTTACCCCACGCAATAAATATTTCACGGAGCAATCACTGCGTAAGTGGTAGCCAAATATTGCTATTTTAGACTCCTAACCCTAAACCGGGGGAGTCTAGACCTGTATCACCACGCTGATTGTAATAGACATTTACGGTTAAGCCGGGAATTTGAGCACATTAAGGCCTATTATTATTTTATAATAGTGATGATGCAGGGAGGGTCAATAGATTTCGTAAATAGATTTTAATTTCTGTAGACATTTTATAAAGAAGTTATTAATGAATTACTCTTAAGAATGGAATGCAACGGTGGATTGGAAACGTACAAAAAATGAATGAGAAAGAAGTGACAAAGCTTTATGCTGCTTAATATGTGGCAGTTCAGCAAGCGACGCCCTAGAAGAAGTTTATTGACCATTGAAAATGGGCATAATTAAGAGTATCAAAAACTGACGAGCACATATGCGTAGACATGGATATGCAAGAAGCAATAGAGGTGAGCTACGAACGAAGTGAAAGTATATAGTTTCGGCCTGCCCTTCTGTGTGAGAAGCATGATACTTCATGTTATGTTGTGGTACATTTTTATAAGATAAGAAATTATTTCTTGCGCCAAGAAGTACGTCCGTTTGTGAAGAGTGGCTCCACAATCCAAAGGACTTTTTCATAAAATTACTGTCATAACTTTAGTTCAGTTCAATTCAAGTTCAGTTTTTAGATTCGTATCGTTGTGAGAATTATATGTCTTTTTCTTTATCATCCCATAACAGTCCGTTGCTCGCCATGGGCCTATTTCACTGTAATCATTTAGTACTACCTAAGATCTAAGAGGTGAAGGTGAAGTGCCGTAATCGTTGGCTTGGCAGGTGGATCTGTAATCGCAGTTATGATACTCTTTTTATAGAATAAGGGTGATAAATGAGCTCACAGTCCACCTGATGGTAAGTAGATGCTCTGGCCCATAGACATCTACATTTAACCTCGATTAAGAATCAAAATTCGGATGTTTTGTCACCCCTTAGGATCAAGATGTAATGCCTCGATTCCAGTAAAACGGGTCTCTGGTTCTCTACACTCACCATACGAAACACAGCAGCATTATGCTGCTATTTTACGCTGGTAATCTGTGAGAGCGTGGTCCTTCCAAGTTCGAGCCGATTCACTCGTGCTACAACCATAATATAGCTACAGCACGGCTCTACCACATATGAACACCACACTGATCACGGTCAATGTTCTTAGTATCTCAGATCATCCAAGAAAGAGCGTTGCGTCAATTTCAAGCAATGCCGAAACCATATTTTCTTTTCTTATCAGTCCGTAGAATTTCACTGCTGAACGCACACATATGCACCTATAACCATGTTGTTGGTTGCAAATGATTTTAATACATATGTGTGCGTGAGTGCGTGTTCTTACAAAATGTTGACCTTTTTTAAATGAATGCCTCGGTATTCTATCTGATTCCTAAAGGGTAACAATGCATCTACATTTTAATTCTTAATCGAGGATAGATGTGGATGTTTAGGCACACAGCATTTTCTTACCATAAAGTGGACTGCGTACACCCTTAGTCTATAAAAAATTAAAAAATTAAAGTTGAACAGGTAACGAGACACGTTTTAGTTAAAAAAAACTCCTTAGTAACAAACTTACCCGTAAGTGATGTTTGGCCATCATAATAATTTTTTTTCAACTTCTCGCCGTGACATAAATTTAGAGAGTGAGTGCAGTAAAAGATAAGGCAAATGTTTTCATCGTCAATAAAAATTTATAATGTATCTAATCACATTATTTTATTAACTTTAATTGTGTGGTTTTGAGTTCAAATATCAGTCGAATATTTTTCCCGACTTTTTATGATATCTTTCTCGGTAAAATACCGATAATAATCGAATAATTAGGAGCAGAAATAAATTAATAAAAATTTTTAAAGGAATTTTACGACCTATTAACACATACTTTTGCTATCCAGAAAATATTTATTTTATAAAAATTTTGCGATTTTATTGACGCTTAATTTAAATTTTCACCTTTTTTGTCGTGTCTAACAAAACAGTTCTTTGGAATCGTTTAAATCGCGAGGGTACAGTCCATAGGGCATGAGTAATTAACGCGTCTAGAAATAATTCACGGACCGACAAAACGAGAATTTTAATACACAAATGAAATAATTCCTCAGATTGATGACGCGGATACCTCGCGCCTCTTTTTCCGCTGCGAGTTTTTTTCGTTTCGGGTTTTTAATTACGTTTTATGGCCTTGCGATTCGCAATTTACTGGATTAACTTCGTTCAGATGGGATTGAACAATTTTCAAATTAATTTTGTTTAGAGCACTTACTTATTCCCTTCAAATAGAGAAATATGAACTCTATCGAGAAATTAAAGCAAAGCCTTATTCTTGCACCATATTACAACATTTTAAAAATGTATTAAAATAAAGAAAGTAAATTTATTATTAATGTACTTAGTCACGACTTAAAGAATTTTTAACAATAATGATTTCTGATTGTTATTTTTATTTTTACGCGAACACATTAAAATGAAACTAGTTTATACGGATTTTATTCGCATATATTAACTTATTTTATATTCCCGACTATAAAGGAGGAGGATGGTCACGAGGAGGACTGCGGAGTTCGATGTCCCAATGTCATAGTTAACCACGGCTATCTCCAGATTAAAGTTATTAATTTTTGTTCAGATCAATGCAGTATCAACTTATAATATCTTGAAGTCTTGCAGTTGTATGCTTGTTAATTTTATTAATTATAGGATTCCAAGCAGATGGCAGCACCAAGTTATCTTCTCTATTGAAATTACGATGTTTTTTTCATTTTAATAGCCTCATCATTCTTGGAAGAATCATTCTTGAAACGAATCATTCTTGGAAGGATCGGTTCTTCAGCGAGGATTTGTGGTCTATTAAATCCGATCCTGTACGTGTTCACAGACTGCAAACTTCTCGGAGCGTCGATTAATAATAAAGTCAAAGAATAATTTTAGAACTCTGTTAAAATAGCACATTATGTTAAACGCCGAAATTGTCTCGATTTCCATTAGATAAGAGCTTAA